ACAAAACAAAACACAACAAAAAAGAAAAGCTTGTAGTTAGTTCAAGGACTGTTTGTTGGCCTTTAGGAGTGTTTTCCAGTCCAGTGTGTTGGGATACCAAGCCCTGGCCCCAAAGTCCATCTGGTGGTCATTTCTATTGGCTGGAAGGGTCTTTGGATAATGCAATTGGTTTTCCACTTGATCCTTCACAGCACTCTGGCTAAGCAAGGTCAAGGAGACCTCCTAACCTTTGAATCCCAAGGCATATCGGCCCTCCCAAAACACAGGTTGGGTTGCAAGATGACTAGGTTTGAGCACCTGACAACTATCATTGGCGGACTTGTCACCACAGTCCTTGGAAGCAGAACAGCCCAGCCTGGATCAAAAACACACATGTATCCTGCCCGGGTCAGAGGTGCCGTGATCCAAAAAGAAATCCCTAGGGGAAATACCTACAAAACCAAGATCAGGATGAACCAGTTATATTAACTGAGCAGCTGCCCTGAATAAAGGAGCTAATCAAATCAGGTCTGTGTTCATGACTTGCAAAAAACAAAAATCCAATTCAGGATACATAGTGGGTGATGGCATGATTAATGAGAAGGAAAAAGAGGAGAATCTGTCAATAGGGATAGACAGGAATGATCATTCAACGTGTGATCCCTCTTCTTAAGGAATTACTTTTGTGGGAGGTGGGGAATTTGGAATCATCGATCATGGATTGGTTTTGCATCACACACCTCAGTGGGCACAAAGGTAAAATGCCAGGACAAAGGGAACTGACGAGTTCAAGCCCAGAACCACCCATAAATAAATTGCTTTCGAAGCAACGGAATGACTTTTCTTGCCTTCCCTCTATCACATCAACCCCACTTTAGTAGTTTATGGTTCTCCTCTCCCTTCCACTGACAGAGGGCAGAAAGGTCTTGAGGGGGAAACGTTATACCACTCGGTTTTGGTCTCATTTTCCCCTTCCTTCGCCTATCTTTACTTTGGCCTCACTCCTAGTTTCCCTTTTTCTCTAGATCATTCCCACCATAGAAAATGGCATTGTCAAAATACATCTCACAGCATGAATGCTGATTATAGTACATTTTACTTTCTGGGAAAGGAAAAGGCTTCTTTTCTCATTTCACTCTTAACGGGAAGTTCCTGACATAAATGAAGACAATCCACTGGACATTCCTTCAAGAAGCTCACTCTGCGAGGGGAGGAATGAGACCATGCTTGGGACACTAACATTCTCTTCCCCTTTTCTGGTCCTCTAAGCTTGGATCGTTTGGCATTTGAGAGGAAATGTCTAGAGAACCAAGATCAAGCTGAACAGGTTATGGGAACTCAAGGGCCTTCCTGAGTAAGGAGCTAGTTGAATCAGGTCTGTGTTCATTTCTTACAAAATAAAAAGAAACTCAAAATATGTGAACTAGTCTAATTCACAATTAGGCAGACCAGGTTTTTTTTGTTTTTGTTCTTGTTTTAGTCCTAGCCAATTTTAACTGACACCCCGCTGAATAAATGTTGAACAAACATTTAAATACTATTGGTTGGAAGAATCACTTTAATCTTCCCTGCAACTCTGGCCATCAGTCTGATGGAACGGGACCAAGAGGACCACGTAAGTTGACTTTTAGTTGAACTCTGAGGCTGCTGTTGTTGTTAGGTGTCCTCAACTCATAGCAACCCTATGTCCAATAGAGGGAACACCACCGCCTCCTGCATCATCTTACACTTGTTCTTAGGTTTGAACCCATCGATGCAGCCACTATGCCACTCCATCTTCTCAAGGGCCTTCCTATTCTGCCCTGCCCCTCCATTTTACCAAGCACACCGTCCTCCGGGCACTGGTCTCTGCTAAGAACACATCCAAAATATGTGAGATGAAGTCTTTTCCTCTTTGCCTCGAAGGAGCCTTCTGGCTGTCCTTCTTCCAAGGCAGAGCTATTTGTTATTTTGGCCGTCCAAAGTATTTTCAAGATTCTCTGCCAACACCAGAGTTCAAATGCATCGATTTCTCTTCAGCTTTCCGTATGCAATGTCCAACTTTCACATGCATATGAGGCAGTTGAAAGTACCATGGCTCGAATCATTCATACCTTAGTCCTGAAAGCAGCACCCTTGCTTTTCAACGTTTCAAGAGATTTTGTAGAGTAGATTTTTGCAATGCAACGCATCGTTTGATCTCTTGACTGCTGCTGCCATGAGCATTGATTGTGGATCCAAGCACGATGGAATTATTGACAACTTCAACCTTTTCTTCGTTTATCAAGTTACCCATTGAACCTGTTGGTCCAGTTGTGATGATAGTGGCTTTCTTTACACTGAGTTGTAAACAATACTGAAAGCTGCATGCCTTGATCTTCATCAGCAAGAGCGCCAAGTCCTCCTCACTTTCAGCAAGCAAGGTTGTGTCATCTGCGTATTGCAGAATGAAGGTTGTTAGTAAGCCTTCGTTCATTCCTGATACTGCATTCTTTTTCAGCTAAGCCAGCTTCTCTGATTATTTGTTCAGCATACAGACTAAGTATGGAGAGAGGATATAACCCTGACACACTCCTTTCCTGCTCTTGAGCTATGTAGTATTCCCTTGTCCTGTTCACAAACTGCCTCTTGGTCCATGCACAGGTTCCACAGGAACACAATGAAGTGGTCTTCTCAAGGCTATCCATAGTTAATTATGATCCACACAGTCAAATGCCTGAGCATAGTCAATGAAACACAAGTAAACATCTTTCTGGTATTAACTGCTTTCAGCAAAGATCCACCTGATGTCAGCAGTGATATCCGGTGTCCCATGTCTTCTTCTGAATCCAGCCTGAACCTCTGGCAGCTCCCTGTCAATGTACTGCTGCAACTGTTTTGGATGGTCTTCGGCAAAATTTTATTTGCATGAGATTCCAGTGATGTTGCTATAAATAATTTAATCATTCTGTTGGGTCGCCTTTCTTTGGAATGAGTACAAATATGGATCTCTTCTAGTCAATTGGCTAGCTGTCTTTCACATTTCCTGGCTTAGAAATCCTTAACAACTTGACACAAGTAAGTGTTTCCAAGGCTTCATCAGCTTGTTGAAACATTCCAATTAGCATTCCATCAAATCCTGGAGCCTTGTTTTTGACTAATGCTTTCACCTCA